CTGTCTTAAATTCCCTGCAAGCCAACCTCTTTGGGACCGAGCTGTGCCGAGACAAGACGTGCAGAAACAAGGCCAGTATCGAAGCATCTTCCAAGATCTGCATGTGAGGGAGCAGATAAGCGGTTCTGCCCCGTTTTTGCAGGGGGTTCGTTGTGAGAAGCTCACTTTTCTGCGTGGAGCCGAAGCCTTTTTTTCTTCTGTGGAAAACGAACTCGACGACACGCGGGTGTAAGCCATAACTTAACTGCAAACAATTCATACCCCAAATCTGCACATCCGCTTTCTAAACGGCATTGTTCGTGTAGTCCAGAGACTACCCGGCGGTCAGGCACATTAATAGCTGAAACTGTCGAGGGCTTGTTTGCAGAGCTGGGGACGCTGTCAGAAGCTGGCTGGCTCGCTCTGTCCTGCCCGCGTGCTTTTCTCTTCTGTTCCCTGCTCAAGAGCCACTGTGGGCGCGGGAGGACGGTTTCTCAAACCAAGGGGAACTTTGAGGCCATTTCACCGTAAGCTTAACCTAGTAGGTTAAGGTTCTTTTCTTCTGTTTTTTTTTCTTTTTTTTCCAGACCGGCACTTTCTTACTAGTTTTTGTTGGGGTGTTTTTTCCTGAAATAAATTAATATTTGAAAGGTTGCTCAAAGCCATTTAGCAATTCAGACGTGAACCTCAGCATTCCGGTTAAGGACTGAGTATAGTTCTTAAATTTGAACAATGCGTGCAAGGGGATGGCGCAAGTGACGTACAGTCTGTTCGTGAACACGCTTTGGCCGAGTAACGGTGTTTATGGAGAGTTTTGTGTAAAAGTTACCATAAACATCATTGTGGGGTCAGGTGATACAGAAAGTTGTCTTTGGGCCTTCTGCATTGGGATGAGTTCTACAGCATGCTGAAGTGAAACGAGAACAAAGCAGAAGGTGAATTTTAAATCCATTTTGTATATCCCTTAGCACGCTGAGCATTGAAAAGCTCAAATAAAAAATAATTAGATATAGATTACCCACAGAAGTACATCCGCTAGGGCACAAAAGGAGAAAAACAAAGTACCTTCCTTGCTAATGCCAAGCGGTATGTTCGGTAGTTCATAACCCAGCTGTGAGTAATAAACACGCAGTAGACACGAGGGAAGGAAATACTTCAAATTCAGGAAATGAAGTTATCTTTGCTGATTTGATCTTGATTTATTGGAACTACTTAGCTGCTGGTGTGATGGTGGATTTTAAAAGTAAGTGGTTAAAAGGTAGTTTAGAAAATCAGCAAGAGCTGAGTTACTTTCTTCATCCGTTCACAGAAGCAAGAGCGTTGCAGGTAAAGCTGGCGGGGCGTCCGCCTAGGCTTTACTTCCCAGGCAAGACTTTTTTCCAAATAATTTTGACTGATGGTCTTCGTGATTTCAGCGTCTGAGAGCTTTACTTGGCTAAACCTTTTTTCCTGGGGTCCTCCTCAATCCACGCGCACCCCTCGCCCTGGGCTCACGCGCTGATCTTCCGTGCCAGCCGAGGGCCATTTATGGTTTCTTCAGAGCCGTCTGCGCTCTCCCCCGCGGCGACGCAGCGCTTGGCCTT